TGAGGCGAGGGGGGCGATGGGGAGCAGGGGGGGCTGCCCAAGGAGGCGCCTCTCCTCCCTGCCCCCTGTCCCTCCGGGGCTGTTCGCACGGCTCCGGGGGAAGGAGCAATGTTGGCCCTGCGCAAATTGGGGGGCGGATTTGGCACCCTCAGGTGCCCCCCATCCGGGTTGGGGCAGCTCTTTGTCTTCCGTGGGGAAGAGGGCAGCGCTGGCAGGGCACCGGGTCTGCTGCAAACTTCTCGCCCCTCCTGCCCCGGGCTTTTCTTGAAAACACAGGCCACGCCGCCCCCGGCCGCAGCGCGGCCTGGCCTCTCCTCCCTTGCTTTGCACCGCGGGTACCCCCAACTCAAGTTGTCTTTTCTTTTAGCTCCTGGGGTGCGGTAGCCTCGGCCGCAACCTGGTTTTCCCCTCAGCAGAACCCGCCCGTGGCAGCCAAGTGACTGCAACAAACTTTAACTTGCCCAAGAGCCTGGGGGACGCCTGCGGTGACCCTTGCTGGGAGGGTGGGGAGTGCAGTCCCTGTTACTTCTTCATCCCCGGGCTCTTTCCCTCCTCTTGCGATGTCCAGTCCTCTGGATCTCAAGGAAACGCAATGAAAAATACGCCAGGGCCTAAGGAGAGCGGAGGCAGGCGATGGGAATTAATTGTGCGTGTTTTACAGGTCTCCACTAGTTTGTTAGTTCAAACGGATCCAAAGGGTTTGATTGCTAACAATAGGAACGGAACCGCTCTGCCTGGAAAGTTATTTCTTTCATTTGCCTTAACTATAACGAAGGGCCGGGCCATTGTTTTCTAAGAAACTTGTAAAACTTGAAGTGCATTTCTGTGGGATGTACTGGGGAACACGTTCCCACAGGCGTCTGAGATTGCTAGATGCCTTGAGAAAGAAAATAGCAGGCCGCACAGGAGTAAGAGACATTAAGGGGAATTGTTTTGACCTGGGTAGACGAAGCTGTTTGTCAGCAGTGGGGCAAGAGAGGGTGGGGAAGGGATTTTAATTTCGGAGAACAATGTGTGCTCGAAGTCCTAGATTGGAGATAACATTCAGCTCTCCTCTCTTCTTACTGAGGACACATCTTTAACTGGTTATTTTCAGACAGGTAAACAGTGTGAGTTAAGAAAAACCGATTCGCCCGGGCTGTAGGAGCATTCTGTGGTTTGTGTGTCCATCTTCTCTCCCCAGCCAAATGACCCCCATACATCAAATTACATAGCAGTTGCAAAGACAGAACCTATTATCGCTAAGTTGGAAGGAAAGTTCAAGCCGTGGTCATGGAGATGAACACTGTTTTTTTCTGGTTCCTAGTGGGTCCCTGTCTCGTCCCCCTCAAATCTGCCCTGTTTTAACCGGTAGAATTTGGTAGTTTCTGTGAAAAAGTAACACCTTAAAAACAACCAGAAAGAGTCTCTCGATCTCTTTCTGGACTTGATGAGCTCTTTCTTATATTTCTTGGTTCCTAGAGAAAAACAGACCGTGTCTGGACTGTTTCGAGGTGGAAGTAACATAGGGATGGAAATTCCAGAAGAGCAAGCACCCCCTCGCTGGAGAATAATCCCCACTTAGGACCAGCCAGATCCCAGTTTCCAAATTATCCCGTGTTCTAATTTAGCTGCTTTAATCCCAGAGTAAATCCGCTACAGTTAAAAACTGGTTTATATGGGTGAAGTGGGTCGGTGTTAACATCCTAATATCAACATCTCATTAATAGCTGCTTAACCCGCAACGTGCTTCGAGCGAACGTGTGTCCGCTCGCTTTGTTGGTACCACGCATTCTGTGCACACGCACCGGGTGTCCCTCGGACTCGGTGTGCTATGTTAAGCTCCTCAAATGACACTGCTTGGATCACTGTTTTCCCTCTGTGACCAAGGGGACTGCACTCTGAAAGCAAAAGGGCCTCATTGCTCAGATGAACCGTAATAGAAATATTACAAATAACTCCCCTCACCCCCCGGGTCCTGGGGAGAGGATTCCCACAGCCGTGAACTGGAAGGAGGGAACCCACCCCCTGTTGTAACCTGCACTTTTCCCTTGATCCGCCTTATCTCGAAGCGCTGGATTTAAATAACCTCTCTGGTTCCTCGGGTGATAAAACGATAAAACAATCCGCGGTGTTTAAAATAAATAAATAACAAAAGAAGAAACCCTAGAAAGCCCTTCTCCTGGTGCAGCAAACCACATATTTGTAGCTGCCAAGAAATCCAGGCAGCCTTTCTATCGAAATTCTCTCCGCCTAAGGCCAAGTCATGCTGCTAAATATTGCTGACCACTTTTTCTTTTATGGCTTTCATGTCACTTAGCTATTGAAAGTAAGATGGATTTGTACTATTTCTTCACTCTAGTGTGCTTTCCATACACCCTAGGTCTACCCGGAGAGGCCATTGGAGGAAGAACGTCACGTGACAGAGGGGTGCCAATGTTATTCTTTAAGGGTGTCAAGACCCTGTCAGTTTGTGAAATAAATATTGGGAAACAACGAAATGCAAAAAGCGACCTACTACGACAGCTCTGCAATCTATGGTGGCTACCCCTACCAAGGAGCAAATGGTTTCACTTATAATGCTAGTCAGCAGCAATATCCTCCGTCTTCATCACTTGTGGAAACTGAATACCATCGACCTGCCTGCTCTTTGCAGTCACCTGGCAGTACTGTGTCCCACCATAAGGCCAATGAAATCAATGAGAGTTGTATGAGGACCATCACCAGCCAACCCATTCAGCCCCCAGTTATTTCAGAGCAGCAACAGCAGCAGCCTCCAGCCCAACAAGCACCACCACCACCTCCGCCCTCTGTCTCACCACCTCAAAATGCCAGCAGCAATTCTGCCCCAGCCAATACTTCCAAGAGCCCGATCATTAACTCGCCCACCATGTCCAAACAGATATTCCCATGGATGAAAGAGTCTCGGCAAAATACAAAGCAGAAAAACAGCAGTTCCAGTTCAGGTATGAAATGCGCTTACATTATGAGTGACTGGCTTATGCTGGCAAGGTAAATTGTAGCGTCATTTTTTTCCCATTTTGTTTATAATCTTATTTCCAATATAACTTCCTAACTGGGTGTCTTCTAGAAAACGTTTTGAATTGCTTTAAAGTGAGCTTGACAAAGCAGTGAACTCAGCCCTGCAAATGAATTCCGGCTTCTTTTCCAAGCCCTTCTTCCTAGTGTCTGAGGGAGCTACACACTTCTGAAGTCTATAATATTCCATCAGTAGTGCCTCCCTTCCATTAGATTATGTCAATATACAGAGGCCCAGGCCTTTAGCCAGAGGCAGGTCCTGAGTATTTTGTTGGCACAGTGTTATTATATTAATAAGACACTGACCTATCCCTGCTGAAGTGTAATACGAATAAAATAGCTCATAATCATCTCCAGTCAGGATCAATGCTTTACTTATATTCAGAACCCAGTCTTATTTTAGCAGATGGATTGGCAAAGTTACAAGTCTGGTAAACAAAGATCAGTTCTGAGTACAATAAAGTCAGGTCCATCAAATATTATTTGAGGGATAATCATGTATCTCAACACTGTTATTATGTAAGGGAAGCCAAATAGATGATAGGAGTGTGAGGGTCAATCCCTAGGCATTCTGTTTATATTAACTGCTTCCTCCCTTTTTAGTGTCCCCTAGAAATGGATTCCAAACACTTTGGCATATAATCTTTAATGTATTTCCTAAACTTGGATAATCTTACATTTTACTATTTGGCACTTACATGTAAAATTTTACGTTTTACTATTTTAAATCATGTATGATTTAAAAAAGCAATATGTTTATGTGTGTATGTATATACAAACTGGGTAGATATGTGTGTGTGCATATGTGCACATATATACACATATATGTGTACATAGTTTGTATATAAGGTGCATATATTAATGTATATAGCATTTTGATCTTATACTTGTTGTATATATTGCATACATGATATATGCATGCGTAGGTATAAGGTCCCTGTTTGTATGTTCAGGTTCTCAGAGCAATCCAGGGGATTTGGGCCCCTATCTTCCAGGAAAGGAAAGTATCTAAATCCCCTCCCCTGTTTTGAAACCAGTACGTGCCTTATGTAAAGAACAGCCAGATGTGTGCATGAAGAACTCCTACTACTCGCTTTTTTGCATCTTCTTGTCTTGTATAAATGTTATTTCAGGGAAATTATGGTATTTGCTGTTGTTGTTAATGGAGGCAGCGATAGTCATGCAGTGCCACTTCCATGGTGAAGGGAAATAATCGTGAGATAGTTAAGGCTTGTATTTCCGCATGTTTTAGCTCTAGAATGATTTATTCGACCGGGATATTCTTAGGCCAGCTAGCCGGAATCTCCAGACACCACTCCTAGCCATGGTGTCTGGACAGGCATTGTTTCTGGTCGCTGTGTTCAGGTTCCACCATGCTTATTGTATTCTTTGTGTGATTTACATAGGTGAGAGTTGCGCTGGTGATAAAAGCCCTCCAGGGCAAGCCTCCTCTAAAAGAGCACGCACAGCTTACACAAGTGCCCAGCTGGTAGAACTGGAAAAGGAGTTCCACTTCAATAGATATCTGTGCAGGCCACGAAGGGTAGAGATGGCTAATTTGCTCAATCTCACAGAGAGACAGATCAAAATATGGTTTCAAAACCGCAGAATGAAATACAAAAAGGATCAGAAGGGAAAGGGCATGATGACCTCTTCAGGAGGACAGTCCCCAAGCAGAAGTCCTGTACCTCCCGCTGCTGGGGGGTATCTAAACTCTATGCATTCTTTAGTAAACAGTGTTCCCTACGAGCCCCAGTCGCCTCCATCATTTAACAAGCCTCATCAAAACACCTATGGCATCCCTGCATCATATCCGACTCCTCTCAATAATTGCCCGCCTCCTCAAAAGAGATACACGGGGACAGCAGCGGTTACTCCTGAATATGATACTCATCCTCTTCAAGGCAACGGTTATGGGAATCCACATATACAGGGAAGCCCCGTCTATGTGGGGGGCAACTATGTGGAGACCATGACAAATACTGGCCCTTCCATCTTTGGTCTAACTCATCTCCCTCATCCTTCCTCTGCCAACATGGACTACGGTGGGGCTGGCCCAATGACCAACAATCACCACCATGGACCTTGTGATCCACACCCAACATACACAGACCTTACTTCTCACCATCCTTCTCAGGGAAGAATTCAGGAAGCGCCCAAACTCACGCATCTGTAATAGACAGGAGTTACTGAGTGAAACGTGGAGTCCCCCAACTTTTTTAAAGTACTTTCCGTCCCTCCAGCCCCTCCCCCTTTTGTTTTGTTTTGGTTTTTTGTTTGGGTTTGTTTTGTTTCCTTTGGTAAAAGCGTTTTCTAGTTTCTGTGACGTAGCAATATTTGTTGCTTGAATTGCTCTATAGTTTCAATAGTGAATATTTATCTTCTTGAACTGTAGCCTTGTGTCTCGCTTTGGGAGTATACATAGGCTTTATACTTTACCTTCTACACTTTTATCAAAACAGGGTATATGAACAAATTTTCTATACAAATGATTCTGAAATGTGAATTTGTTCGTACATGATTGATCCCGCGGGGAAGCAATTTTTTTTATTGCACTTCTTTTAAATAGCGAGAAAGACATCAAAGGCGCTTGAACAGGGATTCCCTGGACAATTATTAATACGTGTAAGTCTTTCAATGTGTGTATGCTGGTGAACATTCAGATTTATTTATATTTTTTTTGCAAACATTGAATAATCTAAGTGTTTAAAATTTTATTTATCCCCATCTGTTCATATTTATATATATATAAAAAAAAAACAACTGTACCCTGAATATTCAGGAGGCCGTATGTTAGATGGCATATTGGCACACGTAGGAAATATCGTTTGAAAGGAAACTCTAAGTCCTTTATGAAAAAGTAAATATAATGATGCAATAAGATCTGGGAGGAAAAAAAGAGACATAGATCACAATTTGAATAATTTATGCTTTGTAACATCCAGCAAAACGGAAAATGTGTAAACCTGAAAACACTAGATTTGTTTTGAAAGTTATACATTCCTTGCTGCTCACGTTCTGAAAAAAATAAAGTTTTTATTCTGAATAACAAAGAGTTAAGAAAATATTATTTGCTTTAAAAAAAAAAAAAAAAAGCAAGCCCCACATCATGTGACGAGGAAGCCACCGGGTCTCTACATACACGAGATTCCCATAGCCCAGCCCAAGGAGCCTCTAGCTCCTGCGATTTTGCTTATCAGGGTTTAAAACCTGCTGTGTAGCGGTAAATCCCAATGTGTCTTATGAGCTGTGACAGCTCCGGCGTTGAAAATATCACGGATGGCAGCGATCCGCCTTTTGTGTCCGCAGCAGTAGGTGCTGAGCTGCGCGGCGGCGGCGGGGTGACTCGTGTCTGAGCCGGGCAGAAACAAAGCCAGCAGCAATGCCACGCACAGCGCTCAGGTGCCCGGGCTGCGGCTGGGCTCGGGAGCCTGCTCCCTGCTCTCTTGCCTCTCGCCATGTTGGACTCTCGGTTTTTTTTCCCCCCGAGGGAGCCCACTCTTCCCCAGCCTTCCCATGGAAAGGCCCCTTCCGTCTCTGCACTGGGGGCCTGTGCAAAGCAGGGAGCTTTCTACTCCCACACTTTTTCCTCCCACGCTGGAAAGAGACAAGCCGGGGACTGTTACTTTGTGCGGGGAAGAGGGAGGGGACCAAGTGAAGACAAACAGAGCCGAGAATAAAATAATGCGCCATTATAATTGGCTGGCACGAATTCGGAAGGGAGAGGGGGACGGTGCGGAGCATCATCAAACACCCCAGCCCTGGAGAAGCAGCCCTCAAAGAGCTACTGCGGCTTGTTTACACTGTCTTGGGAGCAACCCTGGTAGCCCAGGCCCGTCACCAAGATCCCAATGTGGCTGGGAATATTTAAAATGAACACATCCGTCTCGTATAGTCCCCTCGCCTTCTTTAATAAAATGACCTGATTTTTGTATTTTTTCCCCCATTTTTGCTATTCTGACTTCCTTCTCCGCTCTACCTCCTCCCCTTGCTGGACCCGATGGGGGAGGGGATGAGGGAGCTCGCTAGCTTTCCAATAATAAAAGAAAAGAAAGCAATGTTTCAAGAATATTTGCCTTCCGAATGGCTTTGGACAACAGCCTTTCCAAAAATAGCTCCCACTGCAAGGACAATCCGAAGGGGATCTCTATAAAGTACAACCCAGAGAAGAGACTTCACGTATTCAAATCAGGTATTTTTTTTGCAAACCTCCCAAACGTCCACAGTTTTTAATTTCAAGTTTGAGAGCTGAAACTAGAATGGACCTTAATAGACGAGGGTGAAATGTGGGTATATGTATGTGTACAAAGACATACTCGTATACCGCAGAGATAGTAACCTACGCTGTTCACCATCTGTATCTTTTAGTGCACAGCAAAAAAATGTCGCCATTTTGGTCTCTCAGAAATATTATGAATCTTTAGTCTTTATCTTGTTCCGAGATCCATCCTTGCTTGATGCTGAAACGACTCTAATGCAGCCATGCATCTGCATAGAGCTCTTCTGCATAAATATATATATAACACTGGGAGCCACAGAAAGGGATTTTGTATATTATACAGATTTATTTTGTACACGGAGATATACACTTCAAACGGAAAGAGGCCGGCTACCGTCTGATATCGGTGATTGAATCGCAATTAATGATTAATACAGACCAACGACTGACTATTAATTTTGACACAGGAAAGAAGAATCTTTTGGCAACTGATAAAAGATTATAGGCGACATTTTCCTCGTTTAAAACCAGCACCCTCCCCCACCCCTTGTTGTAAACAGGTTAAATAAAATCAAAGGAAATGATAGAAATGTTAACGTGTCGCTGCTTCAGCACAGAAAACTAAGTTCATGCTAAAAAAAGAGAGAGGATTTCCCATTCCCCTTCCACACTTTCGGAAGTTCAGTGATTTTCCCCAGCTTTCCAGCAAAGATAGGATGCAATTTTTAAATCTTTCCATTGCAAACAACGATCTGGAATTTAAAAGACTGCTGCCGGCTAAAACCCATTGCTACAAGCATAGCAGTTGGTTTTTACAAGATTTCGGCGTTTCCCGTCCATAGAAAGGTCTCTTCCAGGTGGTTTTTGTATTAGATCGGCCACCAGGAAAAATGTGCAGAATACGTCCACCCACACAGGTTTTACTCACAAAGCCTTGTTACACTCCAAGCCTCTCCCTTTCAGCCTACTGTTAATCCCAATATTTTCCTCCTACTGGGAATCGCAAGGTTTTCAAGTGAAAGTAGATCCAAAGTTGGCATCATTAAGGTAAAACCGGGTTGCACTGGTCGCACAGCCCTGAGAAGCCTGTGAAAGCACATTTTACAAGCAGCCCTTTTCCCTGTTTACTTGCGTTTCTTGCTCTCTCCCGCTTTTCTCGGCCACATTTGATCTTGGAAAGAGCAAGAAGCTTTAAATGTGGTCATAAGGGCCAGTAGCTGTCAAACCTTTTGGCGGACAAGATTGATCGCGCGCAGGCATCACCAGAGCTTTGTTTGGAGTAAAAGCAAGAAAATGAAACCCCTTGCATTTTCCAACAGCATCTATATTTGTAAGGCAGCCCCTTTTTAGGGATTAAATGACAAGTCTCGATCTATATTTTATTTAAACAAGCAACCCAGGGAAAAAAAAGAAGACTTAACAATATCCCAACCCCTCCCCCCTCCCAGTCCCTTCCAGCTTGTGGGTTTATTAAGCGAAAACCGAGGATTTTGGATCAACATTGTACAGACTGGAGCTCTACTGATCGGTTTATTATTTTAGCCACTTACAAAGATTCTCGTGATGGCTGGAACAGTAAAGGCAAGCCCAAGCCCCCGTCGTGCTCTGTGGGCTACATGAGAATACACACACGCACACACACACACACACACACACACACACACACACACACACACACACACACATACATGCATATATTTTTTTACAAGGCACAGATCTTCCAGTTTTCATCTTGAATACAAATAACGACAGGAAACGCAGTCTCTGGCTTGGGCTCTGAGCAAAGGAGAACTTCAGACGTGTCCAATGCAGTGCTATCATCATCATCATCATCCTAATTATTATTATCCGCTCTCTTCTCGTAATCATTTTCATCGCTCTTCTGGATTTGCTTGAGAAAAAAAAGCTTGTGCCAGACCAGAGCATGTAATCAGTCCAGTAAGTGGCACACTGAAACGACTGCGAACAGAGCCAATGCTCCCGGAGCGTGTACAGTTATTCACATTACAATCCTGGTAGCATTTTTTTTCCTTGCCTACCACATTAAAAAAAAAAAAAAAAAAAAAAAA